AAGCACCCTGGCTTCCTGCTGAGTCACTTAGCCAAACCTCTAGACTCCCCAAGTTGACACAATATGTCAACCATAACAGAGGGTAAGGAAGAAGATGGTATCTGCCGAGGAAGGTGTGTGGGGACTGGTGTCCCACATCGTGAGAGGACATCATGTATGCCACTGTTCACTCACTTACTCATTCAGTAAGTAGGTACTTACTAATTTCTATTAGTTCTTTGAAAGAAACAGGTAGGGCTTATATTGTTTAACCAATTTTTCATGCGTATATCTTATAATATGGGCAGCTACTTTGAAGATAACAATATACACTATAAGAACCATTGTTAATCTCCTCTCATCTTGTTTTGAAATCCTATATCATTTTTATTTTTTTTTTCTATCTTTAAATTAAAAAAAAATAGGTAGGAACTGAGGCCTTGCCATTTGCCTGGCTTGGTTCTGGGTACCAGAAATACATCATCTAGCAAAGCAGATCATAGCCTGCTGTCCTGGAGCCTCTACGGTGCTGGAAGATCTCAGATAAACAGATGTGAAATTAATTGGATAGGCCTTAGATGGCAACAGGGTGATCAGGGAAAATAGTATAAAATGAGGTTTAGAGTGATGAGGTCCTATCCTATGTGGGCTGGTCAGTAACTACATCTACTTTCATTTTATTATCCCTGGTTCTTGTAAAGCTGGATTGAAACAATCACTTCTCAAACTTTTAAGTGCATTGCATTACCCTGGATCTGGTTAAGATGCAGGTTCTCATCCAGCAGGTCTGGCGGAGGGGAGGCCGAGACTCGGTATTTCAAAAGGGCTCCTAGGTGATGCGTGGTGTCGGGTCCCCAGACCACACTATCTCATAGCAGGGGATTACCTGAGGCAGAGTTAACAGGAGGGTGTAACCTCCTGAGGGTAGTGGGAAGGCACTGATGACTGCTGTTATGATTTGGATCTTAAATGTCCCTAAAAGGCTCATGTGTGGACAGTTTAGTACTCAATGCAGAAATGCTCAAAGGTGGGACCCAGTTAGAGGAAGTAGGTCTCGGGGGGAGGCCATAGAAAGGGGCATGGTCACAGGGGGCATGTGCCCCCTCCCAGTTCTTTCTGCTGCCATGAGGTAAACAGCTTTCCTCTTCTCTGCCCTTCTGCCTCCCCACACGCCTAGAAGCAATACAGGCAGCTCACCATGGACTGAATCCTTTGAAACTAGAGCCAAATTAACCTTTCCTCTTTTAAATTGTTATACCAAGTATTTTCTCACAGCAGCAAAAAGCTGACTGTGTAATACAACAGCCTTAAGGAAGAGGAAATATCTGCTCATCAAATAGCCTCAGAGGCCCTGGGGTAGGAGGACTGCTTGCAGGACAGAGGGCAAAAGAGGAAGCTAGCTCTCTAGGGACTGCAGAGTGCCTGGTTCTAACAGCTAGACCCAAGCTGGTAAAGCTGAGGGTGCAAAGCACTACAGGCTTCTAGAAGGCTTAAGATAAGCGCTCTAAAAACCACAAGAGCACACACCCTTGAACGACTGAACGATGCCTGGAAACCCATGAGGTATAGAATAGCTTAAGCAATGAAAGTGACCCCCATGTAATTATAATTAATTATAATATCACTTGCATTGTAGTTTTGAGCCCCTTGATTGGCTTTGGGCAACATGACAATTCCTCAGAGGTTGATGTAAGGACAAAAACTGCCCCTCCAGCAAAAGAGAGACTTGCCCCGGATGAAGCTCCATGTCATTTCCAGGAGCTTCTCCCCGGCTGGAGGAACCACACATGACCTCTGACAGAGGATTCTCTGGGGCCAGGCGCTGTCCTCAGGAGCCTGCTTGCACCGAGCAGCACATTTGTCTTTGATCTCTGCTAATAAATCTGTATTTTTTTCTGCTTCTGTGTGTCCCGTTCAATTCTTTGCTCTGTATACCAAGCACCTAGGGAAGTCACAGCTCCTGTGAGACTACTAGTCGCTACGCTTTCTTTGAAATGCTGTCTTCAATTTATGTACCCCTTTGATCATAGGGGTTTTAAACTTGCATGAAAGTCATGGATTTCCTTACAGGTTCCCCCACTCTGGAAAGGAAACCCCATGTGCACTTCGGTACCCAGACCCTCCAGAACACCCAGTGCTCCCCTTAGTTTTCACCCTAGGCCTTAGTAAACACTGGGTCTCTGCCATCGTTACGGAGCACCCCTCTTTGTCCCCTTCCCCATGGCCAACCCCCCAACAACTTCCTTTTCCTCTTCAAGCAGTTGGTGGTACTTCTCCATCTGGAGTCCTAACTTCTCCTCACCACCACAGGGCCAGATCCTCTGCATTCTCCAAGTCCCAGCTCGAATGTCGCCCTTCCCGGGCTGCAGGGCCCAGGCCCCAGCTAGGAGAAATTTCTTGCTTCCTGGAAACCCTTCCACTCGGCCAGAACCTGCTTCGAGGCACTCGTCCTTCTCCCCTCTCTGAGGGCTTGTGCCCTGTTTCAACAACGTGAGTTCGAGGAGAGGCCCAGCCTCTGCTTACACCCTTTTCATCCCTGTCCCTCAGCCCAGCCTTGGTCCCAGCTCAGCCTCAGAACGGCCCAGTGAATGCAAAATACAGCAAGTCTGGACGGCACTCACCGCGGAGCGGGGCAGGCCCGCGCTCCCAGGCCGCCCCCCAGCCCCGAGCCGGCCAGCCGCTCAGCAGGGCCGCGCAGGGACCCGGGGGCCCCGCCATCGGGTTCGCGAGCACAGGCCCACGGGCCTGCGAGTCCACCGTCCCCTCCCGGCCGCCCCACTTCGATGCCCGCGGCTTCATCCTGGGCCCAGGCCCTGCTGCCAACGGGGAGGGAGGCTGACTGCAGCGGGAAACGGGGATGCGGACGGCGGGGCAGGGCACGGCGCGAGCAGCATCCCGGAGGCGGCCCGCCCAGGCGGCCCTTTCCTGCCTCCATCCAGGGCCGCCCCCTGGAGTCCTGCGGCCCTGGCGGAGCTCGGGACCCTCGTAGCGCTCCGGCAGCCTCGCCATACCTGCTGGCGCTGCGGGGGCGCCATGCCCGGCCAGCTCCCTCGCCCGGTGGCCGCTGCGGAGGGCCGGCGTGGGCGGGGCCGGGGCGGGGCCTGGAAATGGGCGGGGCCGGCCCAGCCAGTGGGCGGGGCCTGACCATGGGGGAACGGCGGGAGGGCGGGGGCGGGACCGGGCCTGGTAGTGGGCTGGCCGAGGGCGGGGCTGGGAGGGGCGGGGCCCGGCTGTGGAGCAGGGGGCTTCTGGTGGCCCACCGGGTGCAGCCGCTCAGCACGCCTCTGTATGCAATAGAGCCACCCCCTGGAGCGGTCCGGAGAGGTCGGGGGAGGTGGGGGCAGTGCAGGGAGTCAGAAGTGGAAGGGAGAGAGACGGGGGAGAGGCAGGGAAGGGGAGGATGGAGACGGGAGAGGAGCAGAGAGAGGGACAGAGAGAGAGGAGGGAGGGAACTCGAGCAGGGGGAGAGACAGAGGTAGAGACAGAGGCAGAAAGAGAGACAGAGACAGAGGGACAGAGAGAGGGGGAGAGACAGAGAGACTGAGACAGACACACAGAGAGACTGAGACAGACAGAGAGACCCCCAGCCCTTCCTCACAGGCGTCCCTCGGAAGACCAGTCGGGTGGTGGCACAGATGCTCAGCACCCTGCCTCGCGGGGGCCCTGGGCCCACTCCTCCTCCGCCCTCGGCTTTCTCTAGCTCCTCCACAGATGGCGAAGTTGGGCGACTCCACTCCGGGACAGGACTCAGGCCTAGTTTGTCCCTTGCAGAGCTCGGGACCTGGAGTCCCCTGGGAAATCACTCACGCCTTACCTCCCCTCCTCCGTCAGCCCAAGCCTGGACTCCCACCTGGGAACCGGCTGGCAGGTTCCAGGAAGGCCTTAGCGATACCGGGCTGTCAAATCTGGGGACATCAGCCATCAGCGGGCTTGTAAGGCGTGCTGCATTCCAGGCTGTGAGGACTCATCTAACCAGCCGCGGGGGACTGGCCGGAAAGATGGAGGTGTCTGGCTTGGCAGGGGTAGAGACAAGTAAACTGGCAAGCACCGCTCACCGTGGCAAGCGCATCGGTTTTCCAGCCTTAGCTGTGCATCAGAATCCCGCGGAGGGCTCGTTACAACTCCAATCGCCCGAACCACCCCAAAGGTGCTGATGTAGGAAGAGGGACTGGGGCCTGAGGATTTGTCTTACTGACAAGTCTCCTGGGGATGTCACTGCTGTTACCCACTTCCAAAGCTTGCCTTAGGGCATGAGTGGGGTGTCGGAAACAGTGTTCCAGATGGAAGATATGGGGCACCTTCTCCCGGAGGCTAGAGACACTGAAATAGAAGTACTGTGCTGCTGGACAGTGATAGAGGCCATTTTTGCACAAGAACTGAAAGCATCATACCGCAGCGATATATGCGCACCCATGTTTATAGAAGCACAGTTTGTCATAGCTAAATCCTGGACAGTGATAGAATACATACTATGAGCCCAAGGTTCCAAGGCTCTGCTGGTGTGAACTGTTCAGTAGGACTTAGCCGGTCACCGGGGACACCACTCTCACAGGGATTGATGCAGTTGGGACCCTGGTTAGCTCCCACAAGAACAGATTCACAAAAAAAGCAAATCTGGCCCCTCAACCTCTCTGGCTTCCTGTCCAGCCATTGTGAGTCCTCCACCAAGAGGCCTCCCCAGCAGCAGAGCACGGCTGCCCAATCTTGGACTTCCTGCCTCCAGAACTGTGAGCTAATAACCTCTTCTTCATAAAGTAACTGGCCTCAGACATTTTGTTATGAAAATAAAAAAGAGGCTAATAAACAGGGTTACAGTGTTGGCAACTTTGCTTCCCAAATCCAATGCTCGGTAGTAGACTCTTAAATTCTGGAATAGATGAACTGTCTTCCTTTTGCTTAGTACTACTCTTTCAGCGTATTAGCCAGGTCTGTGCGACCCCATCCTGGTGTCATCTCCCAGGGTATTGTAATAATGTATAGCAAAGGTGCTGCAAAGGCAAAGAAGAGTCCGTGTAGCCAGCCAATTAAACATGGTGTTGGTGCAGGGATGAACAATAACTCCATGGAACGGAGCAGAAAGACCCATATGGACATGTGCACTCATGGGAAACAAGTTTTATGAGATAAATGGCTACTCAGCAGGGAAAAGAGTAGCTATTTATTAGTCAGCTTACCCGTATGAAAAAACATACCATGACGTGATGAAACAGGCGGTGAAGAAACGAAAGTTTAAGATGATTTAAAAGAACATGCTCTCTCTTTTTTTTTTTTCTTTTTTTGTCTTTTTGAGACAGGGTCTCACTATGTGGTTCAGGCCAGCCTTGAGTTTACTCTGTAGCCCAGGCTGGTCTCAAACTCACAGTGATCCTCCTGCCTCAGCCTCCCAAGGGCTGGGATTACAGGCAAGTGCCACCACACCCAGCCTAAGAACATGCTCTCAAAATAGGAAAAGATACATCCAATAATGCTCAACAAATCACAAAGAAAAAAGTAACTTGGTCTAGATTAAAACTGAAAATTTCTTTACGAGAGAAAGTAACCATTAAAAAGAGGAAAAGCTGGGTATGATGGTGCACACCTGTAACGCCAGAACTCTGGAAGGCCAAGGCAGCCTGGGCACTTATGACTTAGGGAGATCCTGTTTTAAACTGAAAAATAATAAGAGGACTGGGTGTGTAGGTCAGTGTAAAGGCCCTGGGTTCATTCCCCAGTGAGAGGAGAGAGAGGGAGAGAGAGAGAGAGACAGAGACAGAGAGAGGGGGAGAGAGAGAGACAGAGACAGAGACAGAGAGACACAGAGATAGAGACAGAAGGGGAGAAAGAGAAGGACGGGAATGGATGAATGGAAGAGAAGGAAGAATGGAAGAGAAGGGAAGGGAAGGGAAGGGAAAGGAAGGGAAAGGAAGGGAAGGGAAGGGA